TGCTATTAATTATTTTTTTTATTAAATATTTTTATTTTTTACTTTACTTTTAGGGGCTTCCGGGGAAATATTAGGGGTCTAAGCAGACCCCCTGATATTTCCCTTTTAAAGTAGAAAAAGAGATTGAGGACACAAAGTCCTCAGAGACACTCAATCTCTTTTTCTGTGTGCCCTGTTATCAATGAGCAGGAATCCCCTATGCTGAGTGTTCCTGATCATTGATAACATGAGCACAGAGTGTGTTTACTATAACCACAATTATGAATGGACAGGAGGGGATGTAGATCACTTCCTATTTATTCATAATTGAGGATATAGTAACCATACCAGGTCCTCAATTATCTACAAACACTCAGCGATCACTGATCACATCACTGCCTGTACCCGCTCTCCATCCTGACAGCTGTCACTGGAGTCTGAGCGAGCGGTGCGGGGAGGAGAGCTCAGCCTCCTGTGACAGCTCGGCCAGTCTCCGCCCCCATACTGCTCTGCCGCACTGTGATAGGAGGCTGAGCAATGTGGGAGGAGACGCCGGCCCCTCACAGCGCTCTCCTCCTGCAGCGCTCGGCCGGCTGTCACACTTTCTCTCCTCCCGCTGGGACATAGAGCAGCGCCCAGCGGGGAGGAAAGAAAGCACGCAAGCGCCGATGTATCGGAAAGGAAAATGGCACTTTCGGCATTATGCCAAAAGTGCCATTTTCGGACGATATGTTTCGTCGGCCTATATATTGATGCATCCCTAATAATAATAATAATAATAATAATAATCATCAGATTCAAACAACTAAAACAAATCCAAGAAATAGACCTCGTGGATCAGCTTGTACATTCATTTAGTCTGAAACTTTACAAGTATGACTTCTTTCTATATGATGTATTCCTTTGTTTTATACATTAGTATTATTGTATTCTCTTGTTTGTATTGGTGTTGTAGTAAATAGATCTCACTGTGCACTGATGTCAGTATTAAAGTGACACTAAACTCTGGAGTTAAATCTTAAAAATACATCCGGCCCCCGGAACTCTGAGCAACAATGTATCTTATTTGTGTGTCACTCGGCTGTAGATCCTCCAATCATCTCTGACACTGTCCTTCGTTCTGGATGGGGGCTACGTCTGTTCCCCATGGTCCCTGTGTGTGTTGTAAAGTAGGCACCGCTTCAAGCTCCGGCCCCCAGGAAGGACTACAATCTCAATACAAATCAGTAAAGTGAACATGAGATTGTAGTCCATCCGGGGGGGGGGGGGGGGGGTGGCGGGGGGGGTGGAGT